AGCCTGGAGCATAAGCGTGGATGAGACTGAATTGTGGGGAAGACTGAACATACTTTAACTCTTGCTAAAAGGCTCTCAGGTAACAGAAATATGAAAGCTCCGTGAAGACTTTCTGTTCTGGGAGACCAGTTACAGATTGTCTTGAGAAGTGGGTGTGAAGTCTACATATAATCCAGCATTGCTAATCAAAAGAACTGGAAATGTAAGCAAAAAAAAAATCTGTTGTAAAGTAGTGCGTTCTTTTACAGTTATGAAAATCTTTCATCTGATTCTTTCAAAGCACTTAGTGCTTAAGTGAGCATTACATATTCTTTTAGAAAGGTCCTGTTAAGTATTGTCACGTGGAGCAGTTAGAAGACCATGAGTGGCTGCTCCAGGATCAGACCACGAGATAGTAAGCATTTGCAGTTCCTAATACTTACCCTAATGATGAGGGATTGTCTGTCCTACTGCTCAATATTGGTCATAGGCCACAGTTGGTCTCTGGCTGAGGCCATTCTACAGAGACTTTGTTGGCCATTTTTATCTTCTGCTAGGAAGAATGAGGAGGATAAGACTCTTCTTAGATGCAGGAATGGGGGAATATATGAGTGGGGGAAAAGGAGATATCACCTATTAATATCTGGATGTTGGTCTTGGCAAAGGGAAGCTCTTCAGGAGATTTGGAAGAACACTCGGTGTTGCTCTTATCTGTGATCATATACTCTTCTTCCCATAATCAAGATATTCTCAGGCATGTTCTGGAAATTATCTTTTGTGCTGCTGGTAGTGCACATGAGCGGGATTTTCTTGACCCAGCTGCTAGTAACCCTGGATGTGGACCCAGGCATATCAACACTTCCTATGTCAGCAGCTTGTTCCATTCTGTGGCCATGAATTGAGACACTTCCATCTGAGCACCTTCACCCTATTGTAACTGAATTTTCCCTTGGAAGACCATATTGCATAAGCAGTATAATCTCTCTGGGCAGACAAGACTTTAGAAACCTGAATTATTTAAAGCACTGCTGAAGAATTTTAAACAATAATGTAACAGCGAGAAGTTTCCAAGATGTGGGAAAGCTTTAAGGCGTTTGTTACTGTGATGGAGGGAGGCAGTTTATTGCTGTGTTTCTGAATGAGAAATGAGTTGCCCAAATACTATATTAAGCATGGTATAAAAACAGTACAAAAATAAAGGGAATCCACCTTAATTGATCCTGATGGATCACCTTTTCCTTACACTTAAATGAACTCAGATAGGAGTATCCTGGAGCCAGTCTCACTTGACCTGTGACCAGAAGGCTACAGGGACTGGCTTTCACCCTGTGTCCAAATCAGTGAAGGGGAGGAAATCTGTGAAGAATCCCTCTGCCAAAACAAAAACCAGGAGTCAGATGCCATTGTCAGTGCCATGTTTTGTCCAAAATTACTGGACTGTTTCCCTGCAGAGGACTAAGCTTCCGTTCTCTCGGTAGTCAGAGAGGCAGGAGTTAACAGTCTGCAAGGAGAAAGTTCAGGCTCCCAAATCTTGTATTGCAGTTGGAAACCTCCCATGTCTGCTTGGAGGACTTTTTCTTTTAAAATGTGAGTGGGGAGGAACCAGCTTGCAAACATATTTGTAAAGCATCTCAAACCTCGCCTAGGGGACTCTGTTGGGTTGTTGAATCAGCAAACCTTCTTTGCATCGATGCAAGCTGCAGTTACACGAAATACTTCTGCCTGGGTTAAGTGGTGTCAGTCTCTGAACAAAACCCACTGCAGCAGTATAATACTATTTTTTTATGCTCAGACACTTGTGTCAGAGGCCCATCACTTCGAGGACTGGGAACGTTTCCTGCGTGACCAGCAAACAAGACACTCCAAAGCACCGAGGCTTACCTTGCCCAGCACTAGCTGTCTGCACACCTCACGGGGCAGGATCAGTCTGCAGGCCCTGAATAATTTGGACAGCTATTTTTTGGTGTTTTTCTTTAAGCCAAGCACTCAGAAATGGCCTATTCCACGTGCCACTAGGTGGCACTTGAGGGACATGGCAGTCACTTGGTTTTATTCATTATGCATGAGCTGCATCCCCAGAACTAGTTCTTTTTTAAATTTTTTGGTCAAATGTACTTATGTATTTATTTTTACCATCTGCCTTCTCCAGCCAGCCCCTGCCCTGCTGCCTGCTGAGCTTTGCACGCCAGCCTGCCTGCAGTCCCTGTGCCAGCCCGGTGGCCCAGCCACTGCTCTACAGACCAGGAGCTGCCAGAGCTGCTAGGCTGACAGCCACATCGCAGCACTCAGCTGCTGGAAAAAAAAAATATAGATGATGTGTCCTTGGGAACTGCTTTATCAAACTGCTGGAAATGTTGAAAACTCACCCTTTTGGCATCAGTACTCCAATTTATATTTGCTCTCACTAGAACAAAAAGTTCACTTTTTTTTCTCCATTCATTTTTCTACAGGTTAAAACAGTGTTCTCCTGCAATGAGGCCACTTTTTAAGATCAGTTTTTCTGAAGCAGTTTTAGCTTTTTTTTTTTTTTTCCACCTTTTTTTCCCTGCAGGTCATTTATCTTATTCTAACTTCAATTTTCATTCATATTTGCAATTTACATTGTAGAGTACATCTCTGTTTAGTTACTTCTACGCTGCTTGAACACATCAGTTTTTGAAAGCTGCATTTTATCTACACATGAAAGGAGACCAAGCCTCTGTTATTTTTTTTTCCATGCTGTAGAATAAGGTGCTGTATTCTTGCTTCTGATGCAAGGTTTAATATAGACTCCAACGAGAGTGCGAGCACCAGAAGCTGCTGGTCTGGCCAGGTTAGGGGGGTGTCTGGAGCCCCCAGTCCAAGGAAGGTCATTCAGAGCTGGCTCTCACATGTCCTTGTCATCACACTCATTTTGCAGCAAAGCTATACCATGAGTGCTTCATAGTGTATATATTACACGGCTCTCTGAAAGACTGTCTTTACTCTTGCTGCCCCTAAATAAGTGATTTATCAAAGTGATGTGATTTGGGACCAAATTTATTGTGTGGCTCTGTTGGGTATTTGAGCTTTGCTATCCCCAAATCATTCATGAAAGCCCCATAGATCTTCCCATGCGACTGTTAACAGTGCCCAGACCCTTGATTTCTTTCAGATATATAAAAAGTGGTTGTACAAATCAGAGAGGTTATGGGCTATTCACAATGCTGATAAAGAAATGCTATGTTGCATTAAATGCATTTTAAAGGTCTTTGATTTGTGTAGACAGAAAAAAAAAAAAAGATTGCTTTTTCCATTTTGCTCTCCTATTTGTACCAGAAATCAACAGATATAAACCAAGCTCTTCAATCCGTGAAAAAAGGTTTCCAGAATTGAAATGTTAATATCTAATAGCTATTTGAAACCCAAATACTTAAGTCATTAATATTCAAATACTACTGGAAAGTCACAGCGTGTTTATTTTTATTATGCCATCAGATAACACTACAGATGTAGCACACTTGGAAGAGGGGGAGAGAGATCTTGTCAGCCAAGACACATTCTCCTCCTTTCCAGAGGAATTTCACACGCATTTAAAAAACATAAAATAAAAAATCACAAATCTCAGTGCTCTGTATAGATGTTCAACATCGTATGGTTGAAGAGCAGCAGTAACCTGACAGAACTGCTCTTCCCCTGCAGCTCTCTGTAGAGCTCTTACTGGTTTTGTTACAAAAGAAATGGAAGTGCTATGAGGGGGAAAAAAAAATAATAAAAAATAAAAAGTCCTTTCTTTTAAAATATACCACATTGTGTCCATTCTGTCATTTTTTAACCTGTGGTTAAGCCCTGTGAAACTTGTGACCACTCCACAACTTGATGGGTCTAGGCAGAAACCTCCTGGCAAGAGCAAATCCGGTTCTTCAGTGTGTGACAGGTTATTATTTTGGCTAAAATCCTGGCCCCTTTAAAGTCTGAGGCTTGCCTTGAACTTTTTATTTTTAAACCCGAGCTTTCACCTGGGTAGAAGCGAGCCTTTTTTTTTTTTTTTTGTGAGGAGCGAGCAGGATGGCAGGCTGCCTGCCCTGCCTGGGGGCCGCTGTCAGCTTGGCTCCGACTTGACAGGAGCTGGGAGAGAGGAGAGGAGGCAGCCTGCGAGTGCCAAGTGCCCTCAGCCTCCCCGCTGCTGCCTGCTTTCCCCGTCTTCAAAAGCCAGCTGATGCTTTCGAGACAGAAAACAGCCGTGCCCTGTTTACACCGTGTTTGCTGCAGCATGCCCGGGGACAGGCAGCTCCGAAGCTGCCCTCCCGTAGCAGATGTGCTTTGCCACGGCCTGCTGGGGCAAACGGGAAGGTGCTGGAGGATCTCGGGGCAAGATCCTCCAAGGCAGAGCCAAGGGTTAGCCCTCTCTGCTCGTTTTCTCTTGTGTCGGATGCGCCAGGGGGAGGGCGTTGTGGTTTGCTGCCGCGTAGAGCTGTGTTTTGAGGGTTCAGCTCGGTTTCTGTTTGAAACAGGAGAAGGGGGAAAGGAAGGAAGAAGATTGTTTGGCTTCTTTTATGACTTGTGTTTTCAGTGCCTTTATTGGAATTTTTGGTATAATTCATACTTTCTCACTCCAGCCTTGCCAGCTTCAAAGACAGAAGCTTACCCCAATGCATTTTCATCAGTTTCAGGAGATGATAAGGTGACAGGGAGCAACCAAGGTCTTTCCAGATTTTATCCACCCCACCTTGGTTTTTCCTTTGAGCGCTTAGGCCATAAGGATAGCTTTGGAAGAAACTCTGGTTACCAGCTCATTTATATTCAGAGACACGATCCCTAACTTCTCGCAGAAAAACTTTTCCCTTGTTTTCCTAGCACAATAAAATACAAGAAAAGGGTTTTGTTAAGTCTCGAAAAGACGTATGTCATCCATTCAGCTGTCATCCTAGACCTCTATTTCTCCTACTGTTGAATTGTTAAAGTAACTTTTCTTTTGTGTATAATGTTTCCTTTCATTGACCTTATTGTATGTGACTGCTAGTCACTCTCTGGGTGTAGCAGTGACTGATTTGTTGTTACAGACAGAGCAAGCATCTGAGGTTGAGTTACACCCTCAGATGAACAGACCCCCGTCGCAGGCAGAAGAAAACAGCTCAGCAAAAAAGGTGAGACCCGCGTATGTTGTGCCATTGTTGAGTGATTTGCCCTCATCAACAAATGTAGTTGTTTCAAGTTTTAAAGCAATTAAACTGGGGGGGTTAGGGTTACGTTTTTACATGTTTGCTTTCTCGGGAGGTCAAGACACCAGAGGGAACTGGGATGGTGCGTGACATCAGCTCCGATAAATCATTGAGAAGGCTTTTAGTACGCACACATCAGTGCGTGTGCTTTAAGAAAGGCAGCTTCCCATTTGTTTCAAATCAACGGGGGCTTGTGGAGCCTTAAGGGACACAAAAAAGGAGTTTGGTTGTACTTGACCCCTGCCTCACTGTAAGCCTTCCAAGTTGTGATGCGGTTCTTGCTTCCCCTTATTAAGGGTTTGGTTTTGATGTAAACACACCTGTTTGCTGTGAGGTCAGGGTCTGCTTCGAAATGTACACAGAATGGGAAAGATTTGCTCAAAACATTTGCTTAGGAGGTATGATTTCTAACTTCTTTCTGTGTGAACACATACTTTGTATGAAGCAATCACCGAAGGTGCAGTGGTGCTCTTCACAGAGCCTGGCTTATGGATAGAGCAGCCCTGGCAGTGCCTGTGAGTGTTTCCCTGCTCCATGGCAAGGTTGTTGGCACAGTGCGGGCTCCCTTTTGAAGGGCTGGTGCAACGACAGCCAGCCAAAGAGCCCCCTGTGGAGGGGTCTGCTTTTAGGTACTGGGTATTTCTTCCAGTACTGTGCTTGAAATGGAAAAGGGATTACTCCTATGGATTTTGTAGTGTTTTGGCAGTTTAAGGTCAGCTGGGATTGCATATTTGGAATCCCACCAGTTTGTAGGTGTTGAATGCATACACAAGTACCTTGCGTTGTGAGTTTGCAGGGAGCTATAGGATTTCAGAGCACAGTATTATCTGAGGTCTGTGCACTGCTGATGTCCTGATTAAAAGATCTTCTAATATTTTAAATTGTGTTTAAAGTAATGGCAGAAGTGTTTGTAACATCTAACCCCCCTGTGTCCTTATAATTCTAATCCCTCTAATAATTTTAATCCTTCTAATTCTAACTATTGATGGTCTTATGTTTTTCTTCGTACTGTGTCTGTCATAGTAACCTCTTCTGATGAGTCAGGCTGTTTACTACAGTTCTTTTTCTTCTAATTGCTCGGTCATTAAATGCTTCCTTGTTTATTTATTTTTTTCTTGTTTTAGTAACAGTTGGCCAAAGCATAGTGAGGAAGATAGTCTGACCCAGTAACATATACTCTGCGATTGATAGTAAAACTTGATCTCTGGTCTTGGCTGTGATGCTAAATGTGTAACCTTTGTCATATCACTTTGTTTCAAACAAAATGTTTAACTTTTCCATTCCTGAAATGGGGCACTAATAGTTATGTCACTTGTAGAAGAGACCTAATAATAAAAGGCACTGAAAACCACACGTTTGTATTTCAGTATTAAAACAGATATAAAACATCAAAACCAATTCTCATTGCAAAAGGAAAGATGTCTTAATTTAAAAGAGTGAAAACACTTCTTCATTAAAGGCATTAAGACTTTTTGTTTTACCTGCAGACCAGACTCTCTTTTTGATGTAATTTACCAAGAGAAATAACCGGACTTGTACACTTTCAACATGTTAATTTTGCATAGATGATTGGAAACATGCATCTTTCTAAGCTCGTTTCTGTGTTGCTTCATGTAAGAGAGTAGGGGATGAGAAGGGAGGGGCCGTGTGCCAAGGGATTAAAGTAGAAGCTGTGATGCTAGTGATTGATCCTTACCAACTGGGAGCATAATTAAATGTAAGTCTTGCAGTGTCCTAATGTTTTTGAGCCAACTGGATGCTAGTACATCCATTCATACCCCCTCCCCAAATGCTGCCCTATACAATCCAGTTCTGAGAAGCCTGTCATCCAGATGAAGACAAAATTCATCTAGCTAGTGTAATTGTTTCATTCGTTAATCACAGAATCACAGAATCTCTAGGTTGGAAGAGACCTCAAGATCATCGAGTCCAACCTCTGACCTAACGCTAACAGTCCCCACTAAACCATATCCCTAAGTTCTACATCTAAACGTCTTTTGAAGACTTCCAGGGATGGTGACTCAACCACCTCCCTGGGCAGCCTGTTCCAATGTCTAACAACCCTTTCAGTAAAGAAATTCTTCCTAACATCTAACCTAAAACTCCCCTGGCGTTAAGGGGTTGTAGGAGTTATTGTTTCTTCGAACAAAGTCAAAAACCCGAGAGGCTATTACCAAATTTAAATTAAGCCCTGTACCACTTTAAATTATGAAACCTTAGGCCAGATGTCAGCAATTTCTGTGCCACAAGCACTCTCCAGCCTAGTGACTGGACACATATGGCCTGATTTAACTTTGCTGTGCTTCTCCCTTGCAGGAGGTTGTTCTCGTTCAGCCGCCCTCCAAACCTGCCCGCAGGAAGCTTCGGACGGAGACGCAGGGACTGGAGACCCCCGAGCTTTCTCCCACTATAAATGTGACTTCTTCTGTGCCAGCAGTCAAGCCTCACCTCCCAGTCCAAAAGTAAACAATTTGTTACACGCGTGCCAAACTGTACCATGAGATCTGATGTGACAGGGTTTGCTCTTTGCATAATTTTGTGCTTAATAGTTCTGGTTTTGGGAATACTTCACAAGATGCAGGTCTCTGAAATCTACATCTCTCCAATCCAGTGCAGGCTAAGTCTATAGTAACTGTAAGTCAGTAAGCCTCTTGAAAAGGTACTGCTTTGCCCTACCTCTGCACCTAGTAGTCATAAGCCACTGACCACTTGTGACAATGCAGTAATTGCCAAACCCAACATATGTTGTTTGTTTTCATAAATACAGCTGTTGAAGCTCTCAACAGCAAAGACCTGGAGGATTTCATTATATATATTTATTTAATAGCAATGTTGAAGGGGCTGCACAAATGGTAAGTGAAGGTACTTGAAGCTCTTTTGGGTCTATACATCTCCCTCAACCAAAACACCGTGCAGACATTACAGCCTGCCTTCGCCCAAAGCCTTGCAACGGCATCTGGTTCAATCTGAAGCAAAACCGAGATGCCCAAATCAGTTGAGCAGTTTTTGGCAAACTGCTTGTCAGCAGACTGAATCTGTGCTGCATAAATGGAGATTAGAATAAATCATAAGACTCCTAGGATGCCCTTAAAGTGCTATTTTATGCTTTGGGAGTGCGTATTCCATAGAGGTTCAAAGAACAGATAAATAGCATTTGTTAACATCTCAACTTAATCCCGTCTTGTCTGTATCTTTCCTGAAATGTTTAAATGACCATGGGGTTGTAATTCCTTGTGTTTTTTTTTTTTTTTTTTTTTTTCTCCTGTAATTATTACTTTATAGTCTACAGGGAGTGGTTTGAAGCAAAACCTGACAGTTCACTGGAAGATAATAGCATAAAGACCAGACTGTGTTGTGACGTAGACTCTATTGCAAAGATCAGTGCCATGAGCTCTGTCAAGAGAAAGAGCTAACGGGGACTGTGTACCATTATGGACCTTATTTGAATAGGACATCTGGTTTAGGTTAAATTTGTCACTAAATAGCTTTTGATGCCTCATGTAAAACTTTAAAATAATCTCTGTGAAAAAGGGCTTGGATATCCAGCCAGTATTTTCTGTATTTTTTTTTTCCTTTTATGCTCTCGCTACCTCTATCTCTTAGAGCAGTTGGTCCTTATGTACTAAGTTGGCACTTTCTGCACCCATCTGCCTGACTGCAGTTTCCTCCACACCGGTCACCACGGGCTATAGAGTCATAATAATAATAAGAAAGAAATCTTTTATTTAAGCAGCAAAAGAGATGAGGCAATTCCGTAAGTCATCTGCCTGTTTCTGTTTGTGATATCAGGTAGTTTCAGTAAAAGTGACTGTTTTGAGAAAGAAAATTAATATTATTTTTAAGTGAAGCAATATCAGAATCAGCAGAGCCTTGAAAAATCTGAGACAGCATTTTCATGCAGATGTCATTTCTTTCTGAATAGAGTGATTTTTATATTTTCTTTTAGCCACTCCTGAATTTTAAATTCTACAAGTGTCTGAAAACAGCTGAAGGACAGATACTGCAATAAGGACAGCTATGCAAGGATTATTCTTAAGCTGAATCCAACTGCAGTGATTTTAAAATAATTGAGACAGCCTAAAATGTTTCTGTCATTCAGATTAACAAGCATGGCCATTTTACTTTCAAATAGCCCACCTGGTTCAGTCATCTTATTTTAGTGTTACGTTTTTCTTTTCTTAAATGTGTAGTTTGTACCTTGTCTTTGACATGTAGTCTAGTGTGTATAGGGTATAGACACACAAAATGGGTGGCTGGTCTTCTGGCATCAGCCACCATTGAGGCTCTTAATTGAAATGTTTTGTATTTATCTGTCTGGCAGACAGTCTTCCAAGCAGAAAAGGGCTATTCAGACTGCTATACGAAAAAACAAAGAAGCCAATGCTGTGCTCGCCAGGTTGAACAGTGAGCTCCAGCAGCAGCTGAAGGTAAGGAACACACTGAAAATCAGTGACAAACCTCCCTGCAGTCGGTTTCTGGAAGAGAATAACTACGCTGTATGGGTGGCTAGAGTGAGACTTTCTAGGAAGAGTTACAACCTGTGTGTGTACAGCTCCGTTGGCACTTAAAGTCTAAAGGAGGAATCTTGTCTTTCTGAAAAGTTTGGGCAATCTGATGGTATCACCCAGTGCAGGAGAGCAACTCAAGGTGTAGCTTCCTTGTCTGCTGATCGGTTGTGCTACGTAGCTGTCTTCTGGTGTACACGGACTGGCTAAGCCATGCTCTTTTTGTGAACATCTAATACTGATTTTTAGTGTTGTCTGTTGACATCTCTTTAAGCATGTTCTCAAGGAGCTACTTTCTTATAAATACCAGTTCTGTTTTTTCTGTTGTCTCAGTTCAAAGATAGTACCAACTTCAGCTTTTCATCTGCTACGGCTTTTTCTTCCTAGCATGTTATGAACACGCTTGACTGAAAAGGGAGGTGAACCCTCAGTTGCACTTTTTCTCCAGTCAAGATGAAAGTCTGTTTATGTTCAACTTTAATATATATTATTTTTTAACTAGCTTTCAGGGATCTCCCAAGAGTCATGCAGAGTGGATGCTCTGTTCTGAAATCATAGCAAAATATAGGACAGTGATTGGAATAAGCATGGAGATGAAAGCTTTTGATGACAGCCCATTGCCATCATTAGTTAGTTCAGTGTATCTATAGTCTGATTTTCTTCCATATGCTATCTTCAGTGTGCTTAATTTCCAGTCCCTCCACAAAATAGGCCTCTGCTATTCCCTGCATTTTACCTGCAGGACCATGGAAAGATTGCGAGATTTGTTTTAAGTTCATAGAAGAGCAGAAAACTGAACTTGTCCTTCAAGTCATATTGCTGCCTGGAGACTTTCTGCTGAAGCAGGGCCTTGTTCTTACAGGAACCAGCAGACATTACGGGCATGTCTCAGGCTTTGTGAGCTTGCCCTGAGGCGGGGAAGAGTACAGGGGTGGAGGCCTGCCCGCTGCTGAGGGCACTGACGTCTTGGGGAATCAGCACAGCTCTTTGATGGGACATCAGCGAGAGCCAGGCCTCAGTGCAGGGGCAGCCTTGAGGCCAGGAGAGGCTTTCCCCAAAGCCATCACGGTCGGCTCGTCACCCAGGCTGATGTTCTCCCTGCCAGGGCTGCCAAAGAGGCAGACTGCATCTCAGAGTGGCCAGATCTTGTACATTTGCAAAATGAAAGAGTTTGGTTGTATGAACCAAGAATTCTCAGAAAGTAATTTTGAGGGAAATGTGATTTGAAAATGAACTGGTTGGTTTTCTTTGGTAAAAGTGCTGAGTTCCAGCTGTTTCACTGCATCCCAAGCCATTCCACTGGCTGATGTAGGACCTCTCCTCTCCGTGACTGCCTGAGCAAGTAGTTGAGCCTCCGTGTCGCCCTGCTACAAGGACTGCTGTGGGGGGTGGCTGTGTGGTAATGTTTCAGGACAGCAAGGAGAGTTACTGAAATAGCAGAGCCCCACGCCCCTGGGCAGCTCAGCACCAGTGGTTTGCCCTTCACTGGCGCAGTATGGTGCATGCAAGTGCCAAAAAAAGTGAGGGCACGTCTCTCTTCATCCTCCAGGAGGTCCACAAGGAGCGAATTGCCTTGGAAACGCAGCTGGAGCAGCTTCGTCCCGTTACCGTCTTGTGACCCCCGGCGGGGCGTGCAGCAGCAGCAGAGCTCGTGCACCAAGAGCCTTGCTACGACCACGGCACGGAGCAGCTGCGAGGGGACCGCGGTGATGTGGCCGGCTTCTCGCATCTCCTCCGCACCCTGCTGCGCCTGCTTGCCTTTGCAGATGAAGAAGGTACAGAAAGCAAACACCAAACTGTCGGATGTGGGTGTCTGCCCTCTCCACTCCCTCTTCCCAGCCTGACATGTAAATGCGGTTTACCACTGAAATGAGTAACCTAAGAGTATTTTATTTATGTAAAGAATTCCCCACTGATACACACTCTTGCAACGCTTCCTGTCCCGATTCTTGAGAGGTACATCATTCCAGAAGTCTTGCTTAAATTTAAAACTCATCCTTTGAGATGGGTTCCTGGTTGTCACCGATTCCTGTAAGATGGTAAAGGACCTGTGGATTGAATGTACAAGAGGAATAAAACTCACCAGACATGCAGTCTTTATCAGCAATCACGTGTAAGATAATTATTTTCTTAGCACTGTTTATTATTCAATCACGGATGTATTTTAATGTTAGAGAACTTGTATTTTATAAGTTACATATCATAAGAGAGAACAGTAAAAAATATTAAAATTGTATTATTTTGGAAATTACAAAAAAAAAATCTGTTTTTTGAGCTATAACTCTTTCCTATCACTTGCTTGCAATTGCCAGTGTCTCTGCATAACTTTTTTTTTTTAAACCAACAGCATATTTCTAACAAGGTGTTAAAAATGCATTCCGGGCATTTTTGTAAAGGCTGTTCTAAGTATATTTATATTAGTCTGCTTTGTTGTCTTAATGGCTGCTGATTTGTTTTAAGGATGTGTACAAGAACTGTATTTCCAATAGAAGCAAGATAGCAAAACTGCTACATATGAGGTTATAAAACATTTGAAGGAAATAATTGCCTTCTAAAGCAGGCTTTCATTAAGGTTCCTTTGCACCTCACTGGAGATGATATTGATAGGATGAAGCTGCTAATGCTCATCTGTTTTCTAAGTGAAGAAGCACAGATTTTTTATTTTTTTTTTTTTTTAACCTGGGTCTGTTTCAAGGCAAACTGAACTCTGTGGGATTTTTTTTCCGTGGAGGCAGTGGTCATTGGCTTTGGTCTCAGTTCTTGCAATGGAAGCTGGCTAAGCAACATCGATTTATTTCTTGGGCCGATGCTGTTAGGCTGGACAGCCTCAGACATACTATCAGCCCTGCTCCCTTCATGGAGATGATGTTTGCTTCACTGCTGGGGAAGTTCACCTACTTGTTATCCATATTACACATGATGCTGCATGTTTCCTGTCCCGTTGTATCCTGTTGCTCAGTGACCCGAGTATACACCATGCAAAAACTGCAGCAGGGTTTTTTTGTTGTTGTTTTTTGTTTGCTTTTACCATTTTTTTTTGTCTGATGCTTCCTCACAGTAGCTTTAGGACGTCTCTGGGGTAGAGAGGAAGGAGAAGTAGGTTTAAAATAGCTAGTTGGCCTCCATTCAGGCTGTGTCATGGCATGGCTGCAGTGAGGTATCAGAGGACATGGGAGCAGCCAAAAGTTTTGTTGGGTGATAAGTAAGAAAGACTTCAACAGGAATGTTTAAAGTGATGAGGAAAGAGGTTACTTTTGCTGAAAGGGATATGGATGTGGGATATGGATCCAGAGGTCTAAAGGTGAAAAGAAGCATTTATTTTTTTCAGGGAAAAAAAAAAAAAAAAAATCTGTTTTTGTAATGCATTGCTTTCAATTCATCTAAATGTCACTATGCGAATGAGCAACAGACATTTCTCTGGATTTGGAACTTTTTTTTGGTGTGACTGTTGGCATAGCTGGAGTCAGATGATCGTTCCTCGTCAATGACAAAATGTGAAAGCTGCAAACTTCCAGGAAGCTGCAGAAGAGCTACTGTCCTTGTGCTATCAGTGGTGCTGTTCAGAAGTTGTCGTCATTTATTTCATGTGCCCTGAACACTGAGTTGTTCCTGAGTTTTTAAGGATGCTAAGTGCTCTTTCTTTGTTTGCTTTTTAGTTCTTGCATTGTCATTTGGTTAATAAACATCTGCTACTCAAATTGGAAATAATCATCTGGCACTTTTTGTTTTTTCTGTGTGATTTTTAAGGAATGCTTTTCAATGATGACAAAGAAATATGCATGTATGTATTTTTTAGGCAGTGAGTGACTTTCTTATGTTTGGAAGACCACACTAGAGGAAGACCCTGTTTATTTCACTCAGGTTATTCATTGAATAGATGGCATTGAAAGAAAGAGTGGAAAAGACTATTCTGTATGTCCTTTTCAGATGTTTCCTTTTTAAGGTACAGGTGTTCGTTCAACCTTAAAATACCTGGTTACCAACAAAGAAATGCTTCGTGGTTAGTCTGCCACTGGAGTTAATAAATTTAAAATGTAACTATCACTGAGGTTGCACTTTGAGGGGTGTAATCAAATTCCATACTTAGCTTGAAGGCCTAGAAAGTGAGTTAATTTGTAATCTGTTTGGTGTAGTATTGGCTGTGATGATGATACAACAGCTGACATACAGACTAAATCAAGACATTCATGGAGAAGTGCTGTGTTATACATATCCTGCATGAAATTGTTCTTCTGTATGTCTCAGTACTTAAGCATTTGTGCATATCCTATCCAACATGATAAAGTGTCTGCTCCTGGGAAGCTGTTAACATCTTGAGAAGGAGAGGAGAAGGCATAAGGAAGCTCTCTTTCTGGCAGATGCTCCATGTGGCCATGTACATAGCTACTATTAACAGGGGTCAAAATTCACATCTAAATCCAGTATTAAGAAATTTTCTCAAAACAAACAAAAAAATCCTTTGGAAAAAAATGTGGGTACAGAGAAATCATCACTTCTTGCAGGAAACTTTACTTTGTGAAACTTTGGGTGGGAGATGCTCCTAAACCTAAGGCAGAACACCTGGCAGAAGGAGATTCCTCAAGGTTTAGGGCACTTCAGTGGGCTCTGGGAGAGTGATCAACTTTAAGCCCTAACATACCTGGCCCAGAACAGCAGCTAAGACCTGGGAGCTCAACCAGGGAGCAAGAGCAGTATCCCATGCATCAAGTCTTGCTTTCCTTGATTCACAGTTTCTTCAAGCATTTGTGCAGAGCATCTCCAGCAAGGGATGGTAACTGGGACAGAAGCTAGAACTCGGCTTCCTCGTGTCTGAGAGGATGTGCTGGCTGTGAGCCTGGTGTCCCTTTCTAAGTCTTCACTTTCCTGCAGCTATTTGTTCAGACAATCAAATATTTTTGTCCACAAGACAAGACTAGGTAGAGCAAGGTCTTAAACAGGCTCTTGCTTACAGCCCAGATAAGGATTTTCCACGGCGTGAGACTGTGTGTGTATATGTGTGCACTCATATATCTTCCTTTTGATCAGGCATTTCTTTATAGATCTGTTCATGTTTGTTCCATCTGATACCTTTCTATGAGAGATTTGTTTCAATATGTGGTAGTTTAGTGCTGAAAGAAGAAAAATGCCCAGCTAAGTGCCGTGAATGGTTGCCTTTGTAGATCAAGCCATCTTTACTTGAGCCTTTAAATATGAACCATAACCTGGTAATTACGTGAGGTGAGCAGTTTCCATTTGTTTAAACAAACGGCCTGTGAACAAACATTAATCCTCAACAATCAATGTCCTTCTCCGAGTTATTAAATTAATACTCGATGCAGAGGAAACATTACCACCTCTTCCCAGAGAGTTTTCCATTCTCTCTTCCAGAGAGTTCTGCTGATGTAGCAGAAATGTGAGTGATGTAGTGGATCCAGCCCTGTCGTTAAGTCAGCAAATGCCCTTCTTAACTTACCAGATTGTCTCCAAAGTGTTCCTGTGTGCGAGGCAGTGGTTTTGCTGCTGGGAGTTGAGCAGCCACGCTGGGGAGAGGAACTCGTTCAGCTTTCATCCAGGCGTACACCGCCTGATGCTGTCAGGGCTAACCAGCCAGGGCGATGACAACTTGCGCCGTAAAATGGCCCCACCAGGATGGCTGGGGTCGGAAGCCTTCACAGGAAGCATTTGGGATGGACATGATATGGAAATCACCTTTCGGTGGTATGTGAGCTGCTTTCCTCCCACATGGGCTTCCAGGACAGGAGAAGGACAGTCGAGAAGCTTCTAGCCAGGGGTGGAGGGGTGTCAGTTTTCCAGCACCGTCAGCCCTTTGGCCCTCAGCGCACACAGTCCTTGACAAGAAAATACGTGGTGTTACGAAAGTCAGACGGGAAAGAGGCCCTAGTGAAGACATATTTTATTGACTAAAGAGTAGAAGTATTTTTTCAGCAAACAAAAATCCAAATGATGTAGTACCTCTGAGAAGAAATGTATTTTGAAGCTTTTTCCAGTTATCTTCTTGATAATGTGCTATGGACACACGCATAATGTTTTGCTCTGTTATTGATTTTTTTGATGTAAAAATCTTATTGCGAGCATTATCATTGTTAATCTAAAAAAAAAAAAATACCCTGAGGCTATTATATATTTGAATTTTAACTTATAAAGTAGATAGCCAGATTTAAGCAATTTGTTTTCACAGCTGCAGAACGTCCATGTGGTAGGCTGCAAAATGTATAGTGCTCTATACTCTGCCCATCTAATTTTGGAAAATGTATGTGATATGGAACTGGGTGCTACATTCAAATAAAAATGTCCAATAACTTCAAATTCTCTCGCTTTTGTGGTTTTTATTTAGGATGTCGATTGTGCAGATCTGACAGGAGGATGGTAACTGTGACTCACTATGGAAAAAATACGGGGTTGAGATGGCTGACCTTCAACTATGAAAGATGAAATCACTTAGGCTGGGATTGTGCGTACGTGAGAGAGAGAGACGAATAGAGACTTATTTAAAGTGAAATCATATTTCCGTAGGTCTCAGTTAAGTCAATACTTCATCTTTACTTTGTCAGGCCTCGCTTTGTCAGAATTCAGGCTTAGCTCCACGATAAACCTGAAGAGGTACACCCTTGTCTAACCTAGACTGCACAAGCACAAAGGAAATGTCCTTCCCATGGGCACCCCAAACCCTTGGCCTGGAGGTGCCCAAGCAGGAGCAGTGAGAGGACCCAAGTTGTTGTCCACCAGCACCCTAGTGATCATTGTTTTCTGTCCCTGAGGCTGCCAGGTGGGTCCCAAGGGTGGCCCATCAACTACGAGAGCTGAAACTAAATGGGGAGAAGAAAAACATTTGAAGAACTGGCCTTTATGGGCAGGGAGCTGGAGGGGATGATGCGTTTCTACTCTCTAACTAGCGTGATTTTCAAGAATTACATCCCAGCTATCCAAAGAGCAGGGCTTTTAAAAGAGGAAATAATTAGTGATAAATTAATTTTTACAGCATTAAGCCATGACAAGAGATGATTTATTGCCCTGGAAGTATGTCTCTAGTGCACGTGAGGCACAAGGCCAAGGCACTAAAAACTTGTAAATATCCTGTAGGGAGCTATTCAGCATTGGCAGCAGGATGGATTTAGATGGCTTTTCCATTCTTAATTTTTACAATTGTATGGTACTCTGGGGTGTCTTCGTGCAATTCCAGGTTGACTCTTCGTGTTTGGATTCATGTTTCCAATAATCTTTCTTAAAAAATAAAAGATGCATCTTCCTGCTCTAGAAAAATAATTCTTAGTGGAAATGGGAAAGAAAAGAAGTATAAGAAGTTCAAAGACCTTTTTTTTTTTTTTATCCTTCCACATTTTTTTAGGCGACGCTGCCTCACAAGTGTGCATGATGAGGCTGTATGCTCACACGGATTCTGCGGCAAAGCAGAATAAAGGAAAATTAACAAATGAACAGACCCCTGGGGAATCTTGTAGCCCACAGCTGGGTCAGAGCTCTTTCATCACTCCTCCTGTTTCACCTTCCCTGCCAGCCTCCTGGGCACCACATGCCCTCAAACAAATGCGCTCCGGAGCAGGAGGCCTTGATACGTGAGGTCGGGTTGCAGTATGCTCATGAGTCCACGGTATTCACTCAGCACACACCGTTTTGGGCACATCTGGAAGCAGTGGCATTAGCTGTGTCCCAGCTGTGTTAATCCAGTAGTCATTCTGGTAAGTGCCACATCTGTACTCCCAGTTAGATCCCGAATTGATTCACACGTATTGATTGCTAAATGAAGTAGTACAAGCTAGGAGGAATGTCTTATCAGAGGACATTTTGAGGATGTTTTATGCATCAGAAATGTGATGGACTAGACAAGATCAAGGCTATATACTGTATCTGGCCTGTTTTTCATGGGAGGGAAGGAGAAAAAGGGGGATACTTTCCTTAGGCCGCTTCCACACATCACAAGAAATGTCAATTTACTTCCTGTCCTCGGTTAGTGTGAGGCACTTGCTCATTGCTGTGCTGTTTTTTAATGAAACAGATGCAATGAAACAGGTGAAGTAATTGTGCTTCTGAGGTAGTGGAGAAGTCGCTGCATCTCCACCACCTTGCCCCAGCCCCACACAGCAGAGTAACGTGCCTAAAAAGCTCTGCTGAGCACCTCACCATCAGGAGGCTTATGTGTAGGACATACAAGTCATTTTGTTCCAAGGTCACTTAAGTATTTTGTGCCGTCTGTTACAGAGTTAGGGTACATTTAGTCAGTGATCCTCGCCTTTGGCAGACTGATACAAAGCATGCATGAGCTGAGTAGACTGGGCAAAGCACAGAGACACTAACAGGCTGCTTCTGCCCCAGCCCCCAGCCCAGGAGGCTCGGCCTGCTCTCCTTTAGCTGGGTTATGGCTTTGCTCTGGTTCGGGTGATGCAGGGAGGTGGCCAAGGCTGCAGGTGGTGGAGCACAGGGCGCTTCATGAGGTGCCAGCAGGACGCAGCTCATCCAGGTGGCTCACTGTGGCCTGTCGGCTCTGCAGGCCGTCTATTGAAACCCTCTGTGGAAACCTGCGCTCAGCACAGGGCTGCTTGACAGAATTTGGGAGAAGTTAGGGGAATAATATCTGGGACTCACGCCCATGCTAACACAGACCACGCGGAGCTGTTGCTCCAGATGTCACTGCATGGGGCAATGCCGAAAAGCACTGGAGGAAAAGGGGAGGGCCCTGAGGCTGGCAGCAGCGTTTCAGGACACAGATTCCTGGAGACTGCAGCCGTGGCTGACAGACTGGCATCTCTTCTGGCACCCCTGGCACCTAAATGCATGAGCTGCTGCAGGCAGGGCAACATGGGCATCCCTTCTCACCGCAGCATTTCCATCTTCTCTAAGTGGGCACAGGGGAGAACCTGTGACACACTCTCAGCAGTAGAAGCTTCATGCAAACTTTATTTACCTACTATATTTTAAGTTTCTGCTATGCTTTCAATTTGCCATCGATTATTCAATATGCATTTTTATCGTTTCCTGTGTTATTTTTCTCCAGTATAGACAGAGGAATTCCCATCTGCTCAGTCTGTCTTTTTCCAGACGTTTCTTTGTCTCCAGCTATTTTTGCTGCCTGTCCCTGGAATTTTTTTCTCCTTCTTTATATTGTTTTTTGACACAGGGTAACCAAAACCGAAGCCAGTTCGTGGTTACCTCATCTCTAAAGCAGTGACTCTAAATTACTGCATCATGACACCCACTTGTTTTTGTCTGTTTTGTTTAGTTTGGTTTTGTTTGTTTTTCCTTATCTGTCAGCCCTGCAAACATCAGCTGGCATCCTGGAGGGGCGGTATCATCACAGCGGATTGAGAATTTGCTAATAACACTGTACAATCCAGTAAACGGTGGTGTGAATCTCTGGCTTTCAATCTTCTCTCAATGCTTGCATCGAGCCTGAGGCACCATTTGAAAGTAATAACTATTTTTAAGCCGTCAGACGTGTGTGTGAGCCTCCCTGTCCCATGGCAGGTATGCTCTGTGTTTCTCAGTGAGCTGCATGGAAAAGTTTCTGCATGAGCTGGAAAGGAAACCTCAGGCCTTGGCGGACTGAGAGCCCATATCTCACTGAAAAGCAGTGCTAAAAAATGTGCCTCTTCAGACAGATAAAAATTGTCCTCTGACCTCGTGTGCTTTGATTTCCGCTTGCTCAGATAACAGCATTGCCTGTGAGCATCTCCCGAGAGTGCAAATCCCAACCTCCGGAGCTGCTCTGCAGCTTATGGTAATGGCAACTCTGAGCCTGGGCTCGGGAAATTCGCGGGGAGAAGGACAATTTTGCATGTAATTTTACATCCTGAGGTGTTTCATTAGCAGTCTTAACTGTTTAGTCTCAAGAAGAAGAAGCAGCAGGATCAAAGGCAGGAGAGGAATGAGAGATCAAAATTAGTTCTAATCAAATTAATAAACATCTCAATTTTGATTTCCATTAAATAGGTGTATTTATTGCTCCTCTTTGAATTTTGCAGAGCCTCTTGAGGCTTGCTCTCATTTTTGCACTCAGAAATCACTGCATATTTTGCCTTATGTAGCTGTCATTTATCATTAGGGAAGAAGTAACAATTCAGGCCTCAAGTAGAGCTTTTTTCCTAAAAGAAATCAAGTGGATTGTTCATTGACTGCCATATAATCCTCTGATCTGTTAGACAGATACAAGTTATTTACGTCAATCCTAAAGCTAGATGGATGTGTTAGTAGCTGTTATTTATTTATATTTTTTTTGCCAACTTTTATTATGTATGTTTTAATACAATGGGAAGTGGGTGACAAATTGGGGAATGTGTATTTGCTCGCCATGTGTGGTACTTTGCTGTAAGCCGGTGCTGAAGGTTTAAAGCAGTAATTCTGCAGGTCACACTTGCTGCAGCGCTCAGGAAGCCTGGTCTGTTTGCGTTGTACAAGTTGAGTGAAATGTAAAAGTAAATTAAATTTTAGAAGTTCTCTAGGGACCTAAGAAATTAGTAGGAAAAACAACTTCACGTTAAAGGATTTGATTTTTACTTGCGCTGTGTCATGTTGGACAAGGTGTTAAAGCCCCGGTGATTCGAATTTATGAATCCAGCTTTCAAAATCACAAGGTGGGCTTCAAGAGTGAGAAGTAAAAATGAAATGGGACGTTTGTTTAATGTGCCTTCTGGCTCCTGGATCTTTAATCCTTATCCAGGGCCCCTTTCTAATGCTTGACCACTGATTTTTCGTAATTAAATCTAAGCTTACTTTTATCTAGTCCAGCAGCTGGAGCTTTAAGGAATACAGTCAATACTCTGAGAGAGCAGATAGGTAGCAGTGGAGCTCAGCTGCTGATATGCGTGTAACAGCACTGCTGCAGCCCTACAGGGTTGTATCTCCTGTGTCAGTAATAGCCTCACAGAAAACCTCGAGCAGCTTCAGTATTATCCCTTTCATTCCCAAGAACAAATAAAACTTTCAGGGAATGCTTCATTATTTGATATAATTTTTATTTATTCTCAAACAAAGTATTCTAAGTATCCAAACCAGTAATACTTACTCAAAACTTTGGTATCAAGCTCAGAGTGTAAAAACTGTCAGCCTGGCACAGCTAGAAGAGGAGTTCCCATTGCTATAAGGAGTAGCAGTGTTTCCAGCTTCTCTAGACCTCCTTCCACTGGTGGAGGGTGTGGTAATTGCAACCTCCACAGACCCACCATAAAGGAGGAAATATACCCAGGCTGTATTTTCCTCTGGTTCCAAAGCTTACCCTCTTTGTGAAGACTGCCAGAGTGTTTCAGACTGTAGGTAGGTGCCCAGTGCCAGGACAAGAGGCACTGGGCACAAACTGG